ATTTCAAAAGGTCAATTTGGTTAATAACCAAAAAAAATTTAAACATAATAATTAACCAAAAATCTTAAAACTAATGGCTAGGATTAATGCCACATAAAAGGGTTTGCTTGGTAATTATGTTTTCATTTTTTTCTTAGTTGTATTTGCCAATTTCCCTATTTTAAAAAAGAAATAATTTTTTTTTTTTGAAATAATTACCATTTACATTCTGAAGAGTGAGGAAAACAATGACTACATTTACCTTTACAACGTTGGTCGTTTTCTGCATCTATATAATATAGATTACCCATTTCTACTTGTTTGTTCTATGTAATAAAACAAAAATCATAGAGCATTCAAATACAAAAGAACAAAAAAAAAAAAACAGAGCAATAAAACCAGACATGGCAGCTTCTGGTTATCCATTGATCCTACTCTTCTTCTTATGTTTACATGTTCTTCACCGAGCAAGTAAGTTTATTTTCTTTCACAAACCCATTTTTAAAAATCAAAATTTTTTTTATATATAAGAAACTTCTCTAATCGTATTCTTGAATCAAAAACAGAGTGTCAACCGTTCATCGGAGTAAACTACGGCCTCGTGGCCGACAATCTCCCGCCTCCGGCAGCGTCTGCAAAGCTTCTCCAATCCACAACTATCCAGAAAGTCCGTCTCTACGGATCCGACCCGGCTGTAATCAAGGCCCTAGCGAACACCGGGATCGAGATCGTGATCGGAGCATCAAACGGCGACGTACCCGGTTTAGCATCCGACCCGAATATTGCCCGGGCCTGGGTCGAAACCAACGTGGTCCCTTATTACCCGGCCAGCAAGATCATTCTCATTGCGGTGGGCAACGAGCTCACAACAATTACCGACCGTAACCTCATGTCGCAGCTCTTGCCGGCGATGCGAAATGTCCAAACTGCCCTCGAGGCGGCGTCTCTTGGTGGCGGAAAAATCAAGGTCACGACGGTACACGTAATGTCGGTTCTAGGCCGGTCAGAACCTCCCTCGGCCGGGGCATTCAACCCCGACCATGCTGATATATTGAAAGGGGTGTTAGAGTTTAACAGTGAGACCGGGTCGCCTTTCGCGATTAACCCGTACCCGTTTTTCGCTTACCAAGATGACCCGAGACCCGATACGTTGGCCTTTTGCTTGTTTCAGCCCAATCCGGGTCGACCCGACCCTAACACCAACATCAAGTATATGAACATGTTCGATGCTCAGGTTTTAATCCCACTCACGTTTTTAGCTATCTTACTAGTTTTTTTTATATATATATGTGGGGTTAATGAGGAGTTTCTAGGCCTAAAGCTCATACATCTTCTAATCGGTAAAAGAATATCTTATCAAATTAGTAGAAGGACCAAAAATTGACACCAACATATGCAAATATGGATACATGTTATTTGGAAAAGAAAATGAATACAAAAGTGTGATTTGTAACATGAAGAGATATTTAATTTGTGTTTGCACAAAAAGAAAGTAATAGAGGATAATTAATTTGCCTGTGGGTTAACGGGTAAAATTTGCTTTGTGAAGGTTGATGCCGTGCATTCAGCTTTAAGCGCCATGGGGTTCAAGGACGTAGAGATAGTAGTAGCTGAGACTGGGTGGCCGTACAAAGGTGACCCGACCGAGGCAGGCGCAACCATTGAGAACGCGCAAGCTTACAATAAAAATCTCATCGCTCATTTGAAATCCATGGTCGGGACGCCGCTGATGCCCGGGAAAGTGATCGACACATACTTATTCGCATTGTACGACGAAAATCTCAAGCCCGGGAAAGCGTCCGAACGAGCCTTCGGGTTGTTCAGACCTGATCTAACCATGACTTACGATATCGGACTGACCAGGACTACCAATAACCAAGTAAGTTTATTTACATATGTTTGTATGTAATGATGATCTAACACGTGAGCCAAGTCGTATAATATAAGAGCATCCGGATTTGAGACTTTTGTAGGTGTCTTTAAATATAAAATTATTAAAAGTTGAGTAAAAGGAAGAAATAGAGTGTTTTTGGTTGAAATAATGGGGTGTATTGAAATATAAATTTTGAGTAAAGATATGAGATAGTGGGTATTATTGGAAGAGAGGATGTCTCGGGGAAGACAAAGTTGGAGAGAGAATGGATGAAAGTTGGAGTGTATTTAAATATAAAATTAATAAAAGTTGAGTAAAATGATGAAAGAGAAGGTATAAAGTTGAGTAAAAAGAAGAGAGAGTGTATTTTTAATATTTTTTTATTTAGAGACATCCACATTTTGTCTCCAATGTGGATGGTCTAAAGGCTCTATGATCTCACCTCTTATTTCGATACATGGCTAAACCAAAAGCATATATTGTTTTTCTTATGTATCATAGACTTCAATGGCTCCACAATCCCCAAGGACACGTCTCCCACCAGCCGCGGCTCCGACGAGACAAACCTTTCCTGCTCCGCCGCAGATGATTCTCCCTTCGCCGGTTTCTCCTTCCGACAAAAATTCTGGACAAACCGACGTTCACAATTCTACTCCGCGATCTGCCTCTCTAGCTCACATATGCCGTTCTCTATCTATTTCATCGTCCATGTTGTTTGCCTCTGTTTTGTATGCAACGATCGTATGCTTGTGATTTGTGAAGTCTCCTCATCGACTTCAAGAGTTGAAATGTGAAATATACATTACGCGTCTCTCTCACTATCACTATCACTAATCATTTTTTAATTTAAAAGACAAATTTATTCAAACATATATATAGTAGCAAACTTATTTTACCAAGCAATATAAAACATAAATCTGTTTTTTTTGAAAAGTAATGAATCGGTAGATATCACATGGTAATAAAAATCAGTTGAGTTTAGAACCTCGGCTTACCATCCCAAAATCTTTTATCATAGAGATAGTTCTTTCAATATTGAAATCCCATAAAAACATCTCTTTAAACGCTTTGTAAAAATCGTTAAATGTTCATATGAAAGTTGAATGTGCTAAATATGATGTAATGTGCTAAAATTATTTTATTTTTAATCGCTAACGTATATTTATTCTTTAGCAATCTTAAAAACAGTCTCAAATTCTAAATATATATTTTTCAAGATTTTAGTTTCTTCTTATATCCAAAAATCCTTATGTAATACTCCATTACTACTAACTTAAAAATGTGGTT